CGCAGCCAGCGCATCGCCCAGCTCAAGCAGCAGAAGATGCAGGAGCTCAGGTGATGTGCTGCCAGTGGCCGCTTACTTCCCTGGTTCCCTAAGGAACCTAAGGGATGTCCCTAAGTCCTTCCTGGCTTCCCACCATCTCCTGACCCCTGGGCCACCGCACAGGTTCCTTTGCATCCTCATCAAACAGGATCCGCTCTGGGGCCATGGTCCTAGAGCTCAGCTCCGGTGTAGCACAGGGCGCCTGATGATTTCTTTCCTCTGCAGAGCCTCTGGCATCCCCGAGAAGTACTGCGCCCAGGTGGAGCGGAGGGCCCTGAGCTGAGCAAGCGCAGCCCCTGGCCAGGCTCAGCCCCAACAGGAGCAGAGCTCCAGTTCCCCAGCGACTTAGGGTTTTCCATTGTCTTAGGCTGAGTTTTCTATGAATGGAGATGTTTATGGAGCAGATGGTGTCTTTCATCCTTCTCTCGCTTTGGGTTTGCAGGCCGGGAGCTGCCCTTGGGGCTGGAGTGGCCCAAAGGCTCGTTGTCTGACCCACCCCACTCCCAGGACAGAGATCACCCCTTGCCCGTCTCCCCACATCTGCTGGGAGAGAGATGTCTGAGGTGGCCCGTGTCCTCAGAGGGGCCAGGAGTGTCTCCAGGCCTTTGGCACAGTTCGGTGTCACCACTGAAGCAACTCGGAGCAGGGTGGGTGTTCCCAGCCCACGCAGGATGGCTCAGGTAGGGTCCCCATGAGCCAGGCGGGCTCTTCTCCTCACACGCAGCCCTGGCCCTGGCTGCCCACAGCTGCGTCAGCCCTGGCAGTGCCACCTTCTCACTGAGGTGTCACCTCCAGGCCCTGCAGCAGTGGCCGTCTTCAGGGGCAAAGCAAAGAGACTGGAGCATGATGCAAACATTTAAAATCCATTTGGATAGGGACTGGCAGCTTCAGAGGCCCGGGATCCCGTAGGAGTGGCTCTGATTAATTGTCAGAGCAGCTGAAAAATAAGGAGAGCCGGCAAAGGCGAGACTGCCCAGGGCAGGGGGATGGCTCGGAGGACTCTGCTGTGAGCCCTAAGCGGGGAATGGGGGGGGCCAAAATTCCGTAGCCTCTTGTTATCTCTTCCCTGTCTCTTCTCCAGCTGCTGTGTGTCTCCGTGTCGTGATGGAGCCAGGCGCTGCAGGGCTGTGCCGTCCCTTTTGGGGCAGGGGCTGAAAGGCGTTGCTGGCGCTGCAGGGCATCTGCCCCCCAACCGCAAACAAGCCCCTCACGGCCACCCAGCTCTGCGGACCCCCCTGGGGCCTCAGCATCTCCCGTGCTCTGTGCCAGGCTGGGCTGCCCATGCCTCCATCCCCGGTCCCCAGCGGCCAC